TGACGTAGAAGTAGGCACAATGCCCCGCGTGAGTTGATTGTTGAGTGGCAACCACGGAAGCATGGGAAAGATTGAGTATTGAAGCGCATATGCTGCGCATTTCGTATCCTTCTGATTACCACTGTCGACTCACTGGTGCTTTGGACGACCCAAATTCATTGAATGCCGGAGCCATAAGCGCGTGAAGAAGCAATTAAGCAGATGACCACGTATCACTCTCCACATACCGTGTTGTTGTGATTTAGTACTGTCGATGTGCACTGTGGTAGCAGGCGCTGGATGCCGTCCACCGAGCGGCTTCTTAAACATATCCACCATCAACTGGCTTTGAAGTTGACTGGTTTGTTGCTCACTTTCAGCGCATTCCAAATTAATCTTATTCCTTTAAGATGGGTCGGTTGGTGACTTGCCTCGTCAAGTGTGTCCCGAGCCGTGCGCAGTCCTGAGCCGCGCCCAGTCCCGAGGCGTGTCCCCCGAGGCGTGCCCGGTCCCGAGGCGTGTCCCCCGAGGCGTGTCCTCTCCCAAGGCGTGCCCAGTCCCGAGGCATGCCCGGTCCCGAGGCGTGTCCCGTGCGTGCGAGGCGTGCCCGGTCCCGGGCACCTGTCCGCCTGAGTGGCCGTGTGGTGCGGCGCGACGCGTCACCGGCGGTGGTCCGCTGACCGGCGCGTCCCGCCATGCCGCAGAGATAGCCGACGGCGTGGTGCCCCGCCACCGCTTCATGTCGGCCTACGAGCAGAAGATCGAGCCGCCCGACCGCAAGTGGCAGTACCTGCTGTTCGCCGCCGAGCCGTACGAGACGATCGCCTTCAAGGTGGGTCTAACATCACAACATCTAACAACCCTGCGGCGGTTCGCCTGAGGCGGAGTGTGGGGGGGGGGGGGGGGGGGTATGTCGGGATTGTCGTCCGGTTCTAGTCGTGGTACGATGTGAACGATCGCTGTCTCACAGTCCGGTGCTTGAATGGCTTGTGCATTTCATGCCTACGCACCCGTCCTTCGAATTGAAAAGGAGAATTGTTTTGTTCCCGGCCGTATGCCGTCCACTGTAACACTTCACACAATTTGACGTGGTTGTAAGGGATGGCAAAAAGGCGCATCTGTTGAGCTGGGAAGCTGATGACATGGATGCAGTGTGAAATAAAATATATGTTCCATAATATATGACATATGTCTTCATGATCATTCCAAAAGCGGCCTTGCATGCAAGTGAGCATCGTCGCTTTGTGTCCGTTGCGTGCGTTCTGCCTCATAATGCAGGAGTATCAGGGTTGTGTGGTCGTTTCCTGATCAGTTCATCCCCGTCTGGACAGGTTCCCAGCCGCGAGGTGGAGAAAAGCGAGGAGAAGTTCTGGACTCTCTGGAACAAGGACACCAAGCAATTTTTCCTGCAGTTCGCCTACAAGATGGAGCCGAAGCCGGTGCGGCCGCCGGGCCCGCCGCCCACCATCCCGCCACCGCCGCGGCCGCACGTGCTGCCGCCGCCGCCGCCGCCGCGACCGCCGATCATGCCTCCGCGTCCGCCGCCTCCGTTCGCCGGCGGGCCGATGGGCCGGCCGCCGGGGCCGCCGCCATGCTGCCGCCGCCGCCGGGTGGACGCCAGGCCTGCGGCCGCCTCCGCCGGCGCCGCCAGCACCGCCGGCACCACCGGCACCGCCAGCGCCGCCGACCAGCCGACCGCCCGGAGCGCCAGCGATGCTGAGCGGGCGGCCCCCGGCGCCGCCGGGCCTGCCGCCGCCGCCGCCGCCGGCGCCGCCTGGCCTGCCGCCCGCGCCGCCGCCGCCCATGAACCCGGTGCCGCCGCCGCCGCCCAAGCTGTCGGAGCCGGGGGCGCCGCCGCCGCCGCCCAAGATCACGTAGTGGCCGCGTGGTGGCGCGCGGCCGGTGCGGGCCGTGGGCGCCGCCGGGTTCGAGGATATCGCTCATTGGCGATGCCTGACACCGGGTCCGTCGCAGCCAGTGATTCCTCAGCTTTGATCGGAATTTTAAAGCTCTTTTCTCTCCAAGCGCCGCCGCCGTAGTGGGGATTGGTGTATTCTGTGGCGGTGTAGCTGTCAGGCGGCCGAACCCGTCCGGCTCCGCCTAGGTCGTGACGGCTTGTCGAGTCGTGATGAGTGGGTGCGTTGCTGCCATCTCCGACCCGTGGTGCCCAGCAGCCAGCCGCCACAGCCTCTCGTGGTCCTCGATGACGAAGGGCGGACCTTGGTGTGTTCTGGAGCACCAAGATCTGCCCATGCGGTGCTGCGACGGTGTACCAGCCGGCACTACTTTCTCTACCCATTGTCATCAATACACTACGGATCGCGATTTACCGGGTTTTTGGTTTTGTCCACGGATTTTCTCTGCCCGTTGGGATTATTTTCGTGTGACAAAGCATTTTTACATGGGCATGGGGACGGATGCTACAAAGCAGGCTTTGAAACGAGACGGTGAACCGATCGTGAACTTCCCGTGCATTCTTGTAAAGTCCAGGCGGTGGACCGACGATTCTTGACTTTTCGTGGGCCTTTTGCGCATTAGAAGCGCAGACAGAAAGGTTCACGGACGATACACCACTGATAACGGAAGGCTAATTCGGACTGGTTCGCAGTATTCAGTCGTGGATAAACCTGTAATTTCCGACTCTAACCAGACAGGCGCTCCTTAGCGCCCCAATAATGGTCGGGAAACCAAAAAAAAAGAACCAAATTCTGAGGCAAGCTCATTTGTTGGCGTGGTTTGTGGGTAGGTAGCTTCACGTTAACCGCCAGTTCCTTCAACCCCCCGCTCAAACTCGTTTTACAAAGCCATGCCCCTGACTTGGCTGCATCTGTGCATTCGCCGAGCATCGCGACGTGGCATGCAGTCTAGCGCCTCCCCGGTCCGGCGCACGGGGTGTACTATGGAAGAAGAAAAGTACAATAAATGTCTCTTATGCGCCGTTTATGCTGGAAAGGCTTGCGACCAAAGTGAGCATTACAGTATAGCACGAGAAAAAGTATTTCCCTTGGACTTTGTTTGGATGTGGGATGGGCATGGGAACGTTGCGTCAAAGCATTGAATAATATATTCACGCAGGCCGTAGTGGGCAACACTTATAATTCGCATGACCGTGAGGTCACAAATTTAACACTGCTGGGAACTCCACAGGTGGGTTTTCAGGAGAGGGGGGCCTCAGTGGTGCCAGCGTGCCAAAGGGCGGTATCGGCGGCGCCGGACGCCTCCGCGACATCATTGCGCTGAACCTCGCGTGCGTGTGCGTGGAAGTTAAGCCAGGCTTCATTCCACTAACTTTTCAAACAATTTTTCTTTATAGGATTTTCAGGATATGTGTAAAAATGAAAGATTCACGCTGCTTTACAAGCTATGCAAGCATGCCGTGCATGGATTGTGTTCCTTAGAGCAGAAAACACTTCATAATCAGAGGACAACAAAAATAATCATCATACCTTGCACATGTAGCAATTCAAACAATCAGAGAACAATGATGTGATGGGTTTGAACTCAGATTGCACAATGCTGACACCAAATTGTGCTCATCATGACTTCAAGGCTAGCATTTTGGTTGCCCTTTCAAGGGTATACCCTATGAAGGACATCTTAGCATAGGAAGGTGGCTGATTAAGTGTGGCAATTTTTCATGGTTTAACCTGCCTGTAAATGGCCTTTTCCATGCATACAGGGCATTTTATTTTAGAAGGCAGAGCATACATTATGACATTGTATTGCTAGTTTAAAAAGAAAATTTGGTGCTCATAATTTTAGGAGGGGTGGGGAACCTACGCTGCATTTTATCACATCACTTGCACATGATTTTAGGACAGAATGTGTATCTATTACCTGGTAATTGGTTACATTTCCTGAAGAATAGGAAGGTCTTGCTCGGATTATTCATCATGGTCATTGTTTGAGCAGGCGTGTCACAAGATGTAGAATAAGTTAAGCACACTTAATGAAAATGATATCAAGGCACTGTGCAGTGCAGAACAGCTCCTGGCCACTCAGTTCAGGTCAAGGAGACCTTGAACAGCTTGTGTGGATGTTTGGATGTCCCATCTGAAGAGACAGCTGGTGTGCAAAACCACAGGGGAGGCTTCACATGCCACTTGCTGCTGCATGCTGCACAGCCTGTCTGGTGATGTCACAGTATTACCAGCCACCTCTTTGTGCTTTTGGTCATGATCACTTTGAACAAAAACACTAAGATGGAACAGCCAGCACTGTTGCACTGACACTGTTTGGGGTGCCAGTGCAGCTTGAGATGGTAATTCTGGCAGGAGGATGTGGCTGTGAGTGACTGAGCAGCACTTTGGGTGCACTGGCCTGCACTGCAAGGACATTGTTCATCAGCAGATAGTTGAGTTGCGTCAGTCATCGCTGCAGCCAGCACTGCTTGTGCATTTAAAATATCACAGACATGGCATGTTTTCTACAAGAGCAGTGGAAGAAGGTTTCTGGGAGAAACCTTCAGTCATCAGCCACCTCAGGGGCCAGTCACAATGAAGGTGTTGGTGAAGACTGCTCGAGCTACAGAGGTTTTTTGCTGCCTGGACAGGGAACCTGGTCGGCCCCAGTGGCGGAAACCAGACATGGGCATGACCACTGAACTTGGCCGCCGCCGGTTGGCAGCACGGCCTCGGCACACTCAACTGTCTGCCCATGTCTGCCCTAGACAGGCGCCACAAGAAGTCAGTGGCTATTGAGCTGGTTGCCCACCATACCGCCTCAGCCACCGCTTCCCTGCGCGACTTTGCGTCTGCCTCTCTGTGGGGAGATCGCTTGTGCATGTGTTGCTAGTCACTGCCACCAAACAATGTGTCCAATAAGTACCAAAACCCCATTCAGGTACCACAGCAGTGTGCAGCCATTTCAGCCATGGGTGCAACTGTTCTTTGACCGCAGTTCTGTGCCCTGTGTGTGAGAGGCTGGTCGCTGTGACCATGCTTCCTTGGTATTGCTGTGCCCAGGACATGATACAGTATTGGTGACAGTATTGGCCATGTGACTTAGTTTCCTCAGGCTACAGCTGTCAATGGGGTTAAGGTAGCCTCCTGCAGGCATACATATGAGCATGAAGTTTCTGTCACATGTGCTGAGAGTATGTTCAGGAAGACCTTGTCCTTTTCAGAAAATGTCTACTCGTCTGTATCCACTGTACCAGCGAGGTAATCCGCAATTGCGGATATTCCTTCCAAACTTCTGGATGAAGTTGATACGTCCAAAGCACAAAATCCCATCAAATGCTGTTCAGGTTCATTGTGTCACCTGAGATGACCAAACTTGATGTCAAGCAATACCTGGAGAAGATATACAATGTACCTGTGGTCCAAGTCAGCATCTCTAACAGACTAGGTATGGAAAGTGGTAGCTGAAGTTAAGTGGCTGATGATTTCCCATCATTAGCACTCCTGCATTGAACCAATGGTTAAGGAGCACTGAAAACTGTTATAAACTTGGTGTCAGATGCTTTCATTATCTTCTGCCATTCATGAAATTTATCATAGCTGTCAGCTGATTTATGCATGTCAGGTTCCTTCATGCAGTGTTAAAGTGAATTGTGTGATACAGGAACACCAATGTTGTTTGTGATGTTTCTAATTTGGCATCGTTTTCCCCAGGTCAATTTCGCAAATGGAGGGAAAGGGATACATAGTCAAGGAGATGACATTAAATATGGGCCTTTGTGTCACCTTGGTGAGTAGTACCAGCAGCATCAATCCATTGGATGAAGCTGGTCAGCCTGGTTCTGTTCTAGGGTGATTATACCAAAGCAAAAAATGTCATTTTCTATCGGAGTAATTCAGCTGTTCATGATTGTGTTAATGATCGGTCTGAATGTAATATGGCATGTGGTTAAACTGCATAATAAAGCACATTATGAGGTACCATTGCACACAAGAGGTGAAACATTAATGTGATGTCTGTGTTTTGCATATGCAGAGCTTGCGCTTGGCTGGTCAGAACAGATCTGGTGTACAAGTGTCTCACACTGTATAGATATGCATATTGTTGTGGGAAGTTTTGCTTTTAATTGACATTCCATATTGTGTTTTGTGCGTGTTCCCCATGTATTGTCCACGTTTTCATGCCACTTCGGACAGATGTGCTGGAAAGCTGGCGTGGTTTGAGATAAGCCCAGGGGTGGTGGTAGTTGTCAGATTTCTTAGCGGTTGTACACCGTATGCTGCTGTTTTCAGCCAAAGGACATGGTATTTGAGTTTCCGAATCTGCTGCCCGAGGAGAAGCAGAAGGAGCTGTCGGACCAGATGAAGGAGATCGAGCTTGCGAGGGATACATACAAGAAGGACCAGGAACGCTTCAAAGACAGGCCCGGTGTGCCCACCTGGTTCAACTAGTCCGCCGTCTGTCCGGCTTCATGTGCGCTGACTTTGGATGGGAGGTGTGCGAGAGTCGCGTCGACCGCGCTCATTAGCCAGGTGACAGATGAATACGTGAGGAACATGTACTGTATGCTGCCCCCTTTTGACTGTAGACCTGTTGCCCAGCGGGATGTCGAGTCGTCTACAGTCATGTGACCACTCGTGATTGTTTCGTCGCCTTGGCGCCTGTTATCATGCTCATTTTTATGGAAGATGATAGCGACATTTCAGGTGCTCTAGACTCTCCTTTTGAAAAGCTAGACTGAAGTGAAACGCTGCCCAGCAGAAACGGAACGCTCCAGCACCATGTCTCATTATATTTGTCTGGTAACACACCATTCGTTATCACAGGACCACTAACGACCAAGCACCCACCAAGCGTCCCATAACATGCATTGCACCGCCTTGTCGGTCCACGGCGACCGGCGATGGTCGCGCGCGGGACACCCACCCCAGGCACGAGTCTACGACAAAGTACCGGGCAGAGAGATGGCGCGGCCGGGACACAGCTGGGCCAGCAGTTAAACCGCCGAGGACGTGTCTGTATCACTTATGGACTGGGGCCGCTACGACTGGCAGAGTGACGAGAATCGTTTGACTGAACTGAGGTCCTGCGCTCTGGAAGCCAATACTGGATTGGAAAGCAAATGAAATCGTATCTTCAGGAGACGTTACTCATCTGCAACAACTGGTCGTATCGGTCCCCCCATTACCAGGCCCTTGTAAACAACGCAGCCCACGGTGAGCGATACTCGGGCCGTTTTGAACTGTTGCGGGCGCACCCACGCGCAAATCTCGGTGGCTCTCTGCTCCTCACGCAGACGAACAGCCCCCGACCGGTGGTCCTGCCGTCGACCTCGTCACACGAGGACGTCTTGAGACCAGCCGTGGAGGGGTGGCGCCGAGCCGCGCCCTATCCTCGCGCACTGCCGGCGACCACGGCCGCTCACATGCCGTTGTAGGAGGGGCCGCCGCCGCCCTCGGGCGTCACCCAGTTGATGTTCTGGCTGGGGTCTTTGATGTCGCACGTCTTGCAGTGGATGCAGTTCTGGGCGTTGATCTGGAGCCGCTGGCCCTGCTCGTCCTCGGTCGGCACGTACTCGTACACGCCTGCGAAGGCGAACGGCGGCCCGGTCTCAGCGCGAGTGGCGCAGCAGGCCACGCCCGCACGCCGGCTGCACGCGCAAAGCGCACCGCTATTCGATTTCTGTGGCCGAACGGGAAGGACTGGGATATTGGCTGATTTTGTTTCCGTGCTGTTCTGGGCTCATAGGGTAACGGCACCCACAAAACCACTATCAAATGTGACAAAACAAGGACGGCAACGCTACATGAGTCGACCGGCCGGCGCTGGAGCGCGGGGACGGCTCACCCCTGATCTCACCTGCCGGGCAGAAGCGGCCCTCGGGGCCGTCGAACACGCTCAGGTTCTGCTTCACCGGCACCGCGTCGTCTCGCAGCGTCAGGTGCGGCGGCTGGTCACCCTCGTGGTTGGTGCCTGGCGACCGGCGGCGTCGCGTCACGTCACGTCGTGTCACGTTACGGGACGGGCCACAGGTAAAACCCGACCGCCTTGACCAGAGCTGGGAGGGGGAAGGCGTGGGCCAATACGGCGGCCATGCTGTCCTCACCTGTCAGAGCCACCGAGCCGAGCAGATCGAAGCTGAGCTTGCCGTCCGGCTTCGGGTACTCGATCTGCTGGCACTCCTGCGCCGGCTTCAGCAAGGCGTAGTCGGCGCCTGCGCAGCCCAGGGTGGAGTCAGCCGGAGGGGTGCCGCAGCGCGAGGCCGAACCCGCCCACACCCTCCGCGGCCCGATGATCGGCGCTGCGGACAGAGCGCCGGCCGGCCGGGCCCTCCCGGTGGCAGCACCGATAGCTCTGGCCGCACGGCCCGTGATTCTCGCACCGCCGGCTGGCCAATACGCCTCATTAACAGAAAATACCGTGTCAGCCCGGCACTCACCCATCCATCCACGTACAGGCGCCACCTACCGGGGTGTTTGAGCGTCCACGGTTCCTTGCCGCGGCCGAGGACGTAGAAGAGTCCAGTGTACGCCAGGCCGCCGTACAGGCCGAGCGGTGAGTGGAACGAGGGCCTGACGTTGCGGACCGACACCAGCTCCTGCCAGACCCGTGAACTGCGGATTCGCTCTTCGTAACTGACCGGGTTCACACCTGCCGCACACACAGTGGCGCCAGGTCAGAGGGCGGACGGCGCTGCGACGCCGCGTGACCCACTGCAGGTGAAGAGTTGCGTGACATGTGCGGGAATGGGGAGGGTACAACAGGCCTCAGTAACCATTGACAACAGGTTAGGTTAGGTTAGGTTAGGCGTGGATGACCCGGGTCACCTTCTCACAGGCCGTGAGCGGGTGTCTTCATGAGCGAGCGCGCGCTGCCAACGCAAACTGCACGCTCAAAGCCCGTTCGATATCGCCTGCGATTCACGATCCGCAATCTACTCCCAAACTCGCCTGCGGCGGCGCCGTCGGCTCACCTTCGGTCTCCGTGTCGCCCGCCTGGATGGCGTCGAACACGCTCTCCGCAGCGATCATGGCGCTCTTCATGGCGTTGTGCGTGCCCTTGATCTTGGGCACGTTCATGAAGCCGGCGCTGCAGCCGACCAGGCAGCCGCCGGGGAACGTCAGCTTCGGTACGCTTTGCAGGCCGCCCTCGTTCAGGGCGCGTGCGCCGTACCCGATCCTGCCGCCGGCACAGGCCACGTCACCATGTCAGCGGGCTAAGACGGCCAGCGGTGTGGGCATCAGGCCATCAGATCACGGCGAGATGCGAACAGGAGGTACCGGTGTCCGTGTGTTAATGGCGCGGGGCTGAGCATTGACGCGAGTGCATTCCTTACGATAACTATACACCAGCCTGGTCCACCCCCCCCCCCCCCCTCAGCTGAGGGGACGCGCGCCACCCGTCCTCTACCCCCCCCCCCGCGGCGACGGAGCCGGGCTGACCTGGTGCCGCCCTCAAGCGTTCGGGCGATGGACGGGTGGTGCTTGAAGCGCTGGAACTCCTTGAACGGGCTCAGGTAGGGGTTGGTGTAATCGAGCCCGATCACGAAGCCGATCGCCACTAACGGCGTCTCGTCCTTCAGGTGGTACAGGAACGAGCCGCCGTACGTGTGGATGTCCTGCGCGCGCGGACGCCGGCCGGTCAGTGCGGCGTGGAGACGCCGCGGCGGTAAAATATGTCCGATTTCGAGGCCTACACACGTCAGCACAGGGCCTACCAACGTACACGAAGGGAGAGACTGCATAAGGACGCGCCGATAACATGCTGTTTGGAGCTTATGAGGGAGACAAATGCGCGTCTCGTCGACGTCCACGCATCAGGCCACCAGCCGTTAGCCTTTTGATCCAACGGCTGACTCAACCAACCCCACTACCGCCGCCTGACGGCAGCCCGACACCCCTCGCCGGACACCCAGCACCACCAGCGTCGCGGCCGGCCCAGCCGGCAGCAGTAGGCGCCCCTGGCGGCGGGTGGCGGCGGCCGCTCACCAGCGGCCAGCCGACGGTGTGCTCGACGCGTCCGGGCCGGTGCACGTCCGGCGACACCTCCCACAGCTCCTTCAGCCCGATGCCGTACGTCTGCGGCTGGGCGGCGTCGCGCAGGCTGTAGCGCGCCATCAGCTGCTTGGCCAGGTGGCCGTGGCAGCCCTCGGCGAAGATGGTGCACTTGGCGTGCAGTTCCATGCCGCGCTCGAACGAGTCCTGCCGGCCGCCGCACGACGCTCAGGGCGAGTGGGGGAAGGGGGGGGGGGCGCCAGAGAGATGGGCGGCATGAAGAACGGGATGCCTCCGAACCCGTCCTGAAGACATTCAATCGTAATTAAGAAAATGGGAACATACTTTATTCCCTAGTAAACGAGATGCACCAAAGAACTCTGTAGATATAACCCAATGTTAGCGCATATGAGCATCCACAAAATACTTGATGTTGCGGAATGATCAACAAAGCCCATTCCCAAACCCCACGCCTTTCTCCAGAGATAAAAAGCAATCTGATGATGTGGCCCCTGAGAGGCCCTGACAAAACACCCAACAAACGCCCCACAAACCCTCCGCCGCGCCGCACGCGCGCGCCACCGACCTTGGGCGCGCCGTCCTTGCCGACGCCGAGGTCGCTGGTGGCCACGCCGCGCACCGAGCCGTCGCCGTTGAAGAGCAGCTCGGCGGCAGCCGTGCCGGGGTACACGTCCACGCCCAGCTCCTCGGCCTGCTCTCCCAGCCAGCGCACCAGGTGGCCCAGCCGCACCACGTAGTTGCCGTGGTTGCGCATCGGAAAGCCGGGCAGGATGGGGATCGGCAGCCGGCCGGTGGCCGTCAGCAGGGCGAACTTGTCCTCGGTGACGGGCGTGTTGAGCGGCGCGCCGCGCACCTCCCAGTCTGGGATCAGCTCGTCGAGCGCCAGAGGCTCCAGGCACGCGCCCGACAGGATGTGGCCGCCTGCCGGAGGAGCCCCGGTCAGCGGCAGGCCGGTGGTGTCCTGCCAGCCGGCTGGGTTGTCGTCAGTCATTCAGTGCTCTTGGTTTTTATTGCTGGCCGTCCACGGTGTCATATTTTTCAGCATTCTTTCATTGTTAAGTGCGAGACCACACAAGCCATTGACGTCCTCATCGAATCTCGCTTTGTTTTGTTCTAGGACCGAAACTTGCGCAGCAGGGCGTACGGTGCAGAATCATGTCTTTTACAATATCATGATACTTGTCCCACTTTTCAACACATAGTTTTAACAACATATTTCAACAGATAGCATGACAGGGTTTAGTATACGCTCTGACGGTGTTTTGTCTTTTTCTGATAGCTAGCAAAAATAATCATTTGCATGAAGTGTGTCAAACTTGCAGGGTGGGCGCTTCCGAAGCATCACCAGAAACCACGTTTTTGAGCAGTTGGAGGCACAGCTAGATAAAGTTGCAAGTTAAATACAGGGGATATGTGACCAAGATTATCTGATCTAAGACAAAAATTATCTTAATGATTATGTCCTGCCACCAAAAATAGTCCTGTTCGCATCTGGTGGCCTCCTTGCCGAAGAAGAAGTGGGGTAAGGGTACAGGCAAGGGTAGGAGGAACCCCCAGCACAAGCCAAAACAGTGGGATAATACATTGCCTGGTTAAATACATACACAATGACGCATTGTTGCATGCTCCTTGTCAATACTTAGCACAGTGTGACAAACATGAGCAAGTATTGGCAGCAATGATGTCGCCATGCAGCTATAGGTCAATTCCAAGGACGTCTGTGTTTGTGTAATGAAGTACCAGACTGCATACCTAAAAAAATAAACAATGCACATGAAAACCTGGGCAGGACAGGCAGCGTTCAGTACCGATTTCAGGCGCCTTCTCGACAACGGTGACTTTGATGTCCTCTCCCTTGTCGGCGGCCAGCTGCTTCAGACGGATGGCGGCAGACATCCCGGCGGGACCGCCGCCCACAATCAGCACGTCCGTCTCATCTGAGACACGCTCCATGTCCACATCTGGCAGCCCCACCAGCACAGGTCAAGGGCAGAAGAGCTGTCACATACAGAGCATGGGCTGAACCCAAGAGTGTGGTAAACATTGGCAGGAGTTGGTGAGAAGTGGTAGCCTTGGATTCTATGGAAAAATGATACATCATAGACATAATATTTTTCCACATTGTTTCCACAATCATATTTTAGAGGTGAATGGGTTACAGTTTCATGACATGACTGTTTCTAATGGTGCTTTAGTCACTGTTGTATGGTACAACAACCCAGCAAAATTAAGTCATGGATAGTTGAATGATCATACCAGAGCTCTGTCAATGTTTTACTTGGAATGGTCTATGCATTGGAATGGCCTATGTATTGGAATGGCCTAAGCATTGGAATGGCCTATGCACTGGGATGGTCTATGCACTGGAATGGCCTATGTGGTCTATGCATTTGAGTGGTCTATGTATTGATACCTTTGGAGGAGAATGTCTTCATTGGCACAATCACAAGGAATGAGCCAAGCTGGGTTTCAAATGAATCTGTGAGAATCTTACATGCCCTCAAGACACACAGTTAGACAAGCTCATTATGGCCCATGCTAGCTACTGGCAAAGTCATAAGTTTTTGAGAAGCTCCCAGACATCAGGCTAAGTCTGCGAGGCATTAACATCACAGCTGTGAGTAAGGACATCATTTTCATTTAGGACAGTATGAAACGATCCTTTTATGACCAGTAATCAACTCAATAAAGGTTCACACTTATAGCGGTCTGGTAAAGATGGTGAAAAACAGCTGATTATTAATAAGAGAAATGCAGCACAGACATCAAGAAAAAGTCCAAAGCTTTCTGTGACAGAAAATACAACTTAAAGTCATGCAAAAGATTTGCAAATCCAATTCACCAAGTTATTTATTGTATGCAGTAGGTAGAAACCTGTTATCACATACCAGCTTACAGATGTAAGCTGGAATGCTTACATCTTGGGAACATCTTGAGAAAACAGCAGGCAATGCAAAATACTTAAAAGCAGGTATGTGCCTGGATCAAAAGGGTGCATCCAGGACTTCATGGGATTCCATCTTGATGGGATTCTGGTGTCAGGTTCTGGAGTGTGTTGGCCTTCTTCCACATGTCTGCCTCAAAGCAATCATAAACCCTACCTTTCCACCTGGGATCCTGGTCTCGTGGATGAATGGTGTAATGTGTGGTTATCTTTGGGAAGCATTGAGCACTATGTTCATATCTTCTTCCAATGTGGCAGACACGGCTTGCTGAAACACAGATTAAAAATGTGTAAGTAGTCACATCCAACACTCCAGAAAAATGTGGGAAGAACTGAGATAAGTGAATATGAAACAGTCAATACAAGCCTGCTGCTCTGCCAAAAAACACTGATCATTATCACAAAACAGCATGCTGATTCAATTTTATCATCAAAATAGTAAGTCACAGCCTATGCAAATCACCATACCCAAAGGAACAAGTCAGCAGACAGTGGAAAGTTTGAGTTGATCTCTGTATCAAAACAGTGATTAAAAATTGACTGCTATAACACAGTTCACAATGAAAATGATTTTTGGCTATTTTATTTGCTAGACTAATATTTCCATTCAACAAGTTACTGATACCCTCTGAAGCTGTATTATCATGCATCCTTCACTTCCTTAAGCTTCTTTACCTTGGGAAACTTAGTTGCCTTATTGGTCCTTTCTGCTAACCATGCCACAACTGAAGCTTTTTTACATAAAAATATACAGGAATATGCATAATTAGCCCACCAGCAATCAAGCACTTTTAGTACATATCATTGAGTTTGAAGTGATTTGTTTTTCATATAACACATGTTTGAGTACTGGCATCAGGCCTGAACTATTTGATACATGGCAAACTGCTTGTATGCTATCATTAATATTGATACTACTTAAATAAATAAATTCATTTATCTAATTTGCATATTGTCATTAATGCATTCTGCAATATCAGGTATTTGACACAATGTAGAACATATTACTCCTTAGACTATGTTCTCATACTGGTAAGACCAGCCAGTATCAAAATATATTACATATCTCATAAGCAATTTTATTGCTGCAACATTGCATAACACCATGTCTTGAACAATGTTGGTAAAAAGCTAGTTCATGAAAAAGAAAGCACTGACAGCATGTATACCATAAGACTTGTTTTTGCCATGAAGTTGGTCAGATGGCAGTTCAGCTCAAACTATAATAAGTATTCATAAAGCTCCCACAATGGCCTATGGCACAATGGCAAGCAAACCATGATTACATAACACAGATGATGATTTGTAATTTACTTACCCTTTTCTGAGCTATAACGCAACATGAATCTAATAAATCACAAACTAGGATCACTGAAGCTAAATGATGTCAGTATACTATAAGATAACACGTTCATGGGCAAAGTATGTTCACAATATGCAAAAAAACAGCCAGGGCACAGCCAAAACCTTACCTACTCGTGAAGACCGAATCACAAGCCCAGCCATGGTCTTAAAGTCTCCTTGGCGCTCTTGCGTTAATACCTTATGGTTTGCAGCGAGTGAAAAACATGCATACAGTTATCGGAACTATTTCGGTCGTGCGGAGACTGATGGCCACACAATCCACTCTATCAACCGAACCCCCCAGACGCCAAGCTATGTGTAGCCCAATTTTCTGAAGTCTCTCCCTCGCCACTTTTGTCAACCACTATTTTGACTTATGAAAGCTCCTGATAATTGAGATAAAACTTTCGAATTATTCGAATAATATGCAATATATTATCATAATATTTAATATCAGTGAATTAGAATAATATATTACACGCGGTTTCGAATTATTCTGGCGATAAGCTTAATGGAAAGAAAATGTGCGACATGTTGTCATTGACGACTGTCGAATTGACGTAACGACTTCAGACCAGGATGAACGGGTGTAGAAGATGATCTAGGGCTGAGACCGTCCCAAAGCGGCGGGCGAGAGGGTCGTCCATAAATTACGTTACGAATGGAAGGGGGGGGGGGTGGTTTTTGATGGAACGGAAGCGTCACAAGGAAGGGAAGAGAAGAATTTGGATAGTGCGACATTACGCTCAGGTGTGTTTGGAAATCATGCTAAGATAGAAAAACCGATTACAACGTTTAAGTCCGCTAGCACTGTTGGCTTCGTCTCATAACAATCAGAGCATCCCCGTTACTTGTTTCGCACATCCAGCTCAGGGGTCAAAGGGGTGTTACGATTTTGGACCGTTGTGCTCAACCTAGCGTAACCAAAGAAGGGGGTCGCCCATTGTGACCAATGCGTAACCAGGGGAGGAAGGGTAAAAAACGACCGAAAATGCGTAACGCAAATTCTGGACGACACAAAGGGTAACGTCATCACTGTCTCACGATTATTTTGGCCAAGGGGCACATGCTTTGCCTCGGTGGTACCTCTGATAATTGACTTGTTACTCTGGGTCAAACCAAATAAGGTCGAATTATATTCCCACTGTTTATATACAGGTTTGCAAACAACACGCATGCATGCCTCGTCTATGTGCCCAAGCCAAATTTTTGCACCATTTTCTTTCGAGCTGTTCATGGGGCCGTCAGAAGTCATCATATGATTCCCATGATATTAGCCTATACTGACGTCGAACGTATGATCCTCATCCACACATTCACTGGTATGCCGTGAGAGATATGTTAGCACGGTTTTGAGCAGCTTCGAAAACTTGACGTGACGTCATGGACATCACGTTCGTGACATGCCTTTCAAGACAGCTCACCGTCAGTCAGCATTCAGTCCACGGTCGGCATATGCAAGCGGCCCCTTCCAACACGCTCAAAATGTGACATGCAAAGGGCCAGTATGGGGTGAGCACATCAATACGCTTGAATACGCCGCGAATACAGTAATTTGGATCCTATAGTTCGTTTGACAAATTTTACTTTTGATCAGCCAATATTCACCAATTGAGGCATGTCCCATATTGAACACAATGGTTTTGTCGGATGAATTCAACTGTTATTTCAGATTTTTTTCACAAACGCAAAGATATCTATTTCTATTGAAGTAAAGCCAACTTATCACACCAACCAACTCTGAGCCCACGATCAGCCCACGGTCGTCCATGCAAACGGCCTCTTCAAAAACACTCAAATTGTGTTAAATGAATGACCATTACGACATGAACATATCGACAGCCTCTAATACGGGAAAATTCGGTGGTTGGTCTCCTGTCGATAGTTCATAAACGTTGCTTTTAATAAACGATATTAAGCAAGCAGGGCACGTGATGTATTAAACGGGATTGTCTTCCTCCTATAAACTCAACCGCATGGCGGGATTTCTCCGAATGGGACCACAATTCAGCTTGCGTAAAGTGAAGTCTTATTTTTCCGAACGGTTTAATTTTCGAAGATGGCAGACAACGGGTCTAGTTTCGTCGGCCCGTACAATTTCGCTGCTTTGCTAATAAATGTTCACTGGGCATGGGACATATCAGTTCCCAAAAGATAAGGCCGGCAAAATGGTTTTCAGCCCAAAACTCAGGCGAGATCTCACCCAAAACTTGCATTCAGATACATCACCCTGAATCACATTACACCGAATGTTGCTGTGTTGTGCCTAGGACGCCTGCAAGCGATGAGCTGATTCCAAAATCAAGTTTTGTTTTCCATTGGCACTTCTCTTTCCCGAGTTACAATAATGTCAATCCAATTTTGTACCTAATGCCTTCCTCCCCATTGATATTACCATGGTAGGCAATGGGGCTGATCCTGTCGGCCCCTGCGATTTCGCTGATTTTTTTCTACTACCGGTAGCTGGGCGTGTGACATCTGTGCCCGTGCAAATTAGGCTGCGGAAAACAGGTTTTTGCCCAAAAACTAACCGTGAGATGGCTTACCAAAAATTACATATCACCGAATAGCACTTCAAATGACTCCTCGTAACAAGCTGATTCCAGCCTTCGTCTTCGTTTCTTTTTTGTACAGGAACAGATGCGTCACATACCCAGCTGCCGCCCAGTCGGGTATCAGCGAAATCGTAGGAGCCGATGAAATCAGCCCCGTTTACTCCCATGCAAATGTCTATCGGAAATAAAGGATTATGTGAAAACCGATTTCACATTGCCATCACTCCGGAACAAGGACTGTGAATAGAAAATAAAGGCTAAATTTGGAATCAGCTCGCCATGTGGGGCCGCTTAAGGCGCGACGCGACGGTATTTGGTGAGATGTGTTTTAGGTGATAAATCTCATCGTCAATTTTTGTGCGGAACCTATTTTTCCTGGCCTTATTTCTATGGCAACAGTTATGTTCCGTTCCTAACTAACGTTTTCCTGAAAATGAGAGGAATCGCAGGGGCCGACAACACAAGCATAGTTGACTGTCATGTTGTTATCTATGGGAAATTAAACATTAGGCAGAAAGTGACTTTAAATTATTGTAGCTCAGAGCGTGGAGGGTGAATGAAAAACAAAACCTTATCTTGAAATCAACTCGTCTTGTGTGGTCGTTTGGGATGCAACACGATGGCATCCGATGATATGTGATTTTTCATCCGATGATTGACTACCCTTCGCGCAGGTGGTGGTCAATTTGAGCCCCTGAGATCTCAGAAACTAAGAGAGCTGGAAATACCAAACTCACAGGGTGCATTGGCCCGTACCTTAACTCACTTATGTTAAAATCTGACGTATCTAGGTCATGACCTTCGGCTCAATTAAGACCAAACGAGGTCAAAATCCGGATTGGGGCATGAGTGCCCCCAGAACCCAGATAGATGTTCTAAACAAGAAGCTACTGCGGCACATTGAAGGTCAGTGACCTTGTTTGGCCTTTCAAAGGTACTGGTGACCAAAATCATGCAAGACTGCTGTGAGCTTTGCAGCTGAATAAGCGTCAAAGATTACGCTGCGCAATATGTTCCTAAAAACAAAATGTTGACCTGGGTCGTTTTAGGTCATTGACCCGTTCCATGAACTTCCCAAATTCCATGGAAGATGTATAATGCGGTTTATGTTATCAATAAATTCGAACCGAGTGCTAAAAATTACCCTATAAAGCAAGCTCTAGAGCAATAAACAAGTTGGGTTTGACCTTAGTCTGGCCTTCGTACCTCAACCTAGGTGAACGGAATTTGTTTATTTAATTGTTTTGTTGCCCAAGGAATTATCTCAGAGATGTACTGTTTCGCTAACACCCCGTTGTTGCATCGATTGAAGTTGCATTGAAGCAGTTGTTGCATTGATTGAAGATTTCCAAAAAGCTGGCTCCGCTGAATTCATGGCCTGACTTTGACCTGCCGTTGGCTGGGGATCTTGCGATGTGCAGCTTAAGTTTTTGATACCAAACCACCCTCTATTCATTTGTATATAGCTGTGCAAAGTTAAGCACGGCCACATTGCGCCATTTGGAGACCATCCTTGAAATACTTTCGGGGGTAAATTAACCCCCACCGAGAGCGTTATATCTGCTTGTGAGTTTTTGGATGATATTTCAACCCGAATTTTTTGTTTAGAATCTTTTTTCGCTGAATATTTTCATGGTAGCCGATGTGTTATATGCTCAGCAAACTTTTATCCGGAATTCAGCGAAATCGTAGGGACCAGTGATATCATCCCCATCTTCCGCAATGTTATCCTGATGGGAATTCAAGCGTTGGGAAAGTGTGACTTTATTCTGATATAACTCAAGTTATCTTCCTGTTCGGAAAAAATTTTGCGTTGCAGTTGACTTTCTCGGAGAAAAGCAATTCTTTGAATGTATCACGCGACTTGCGTGATCAATATTGTTTTACTAGAAATGACATTTCTGAAACCATCGACAGGAGACCAACTACTGTATTCGCCCGGCATTGGAGGATTTCGGCGCGTTCATGTTATGATGGTCCTCAACGTAACATATTTTGAGCGTTTTTGAAGTATATGCCACCCATGGGTTGATCGGAGGTTGGCCGTGGGCAGCGTTGACACACGTCGTTCATGACCTAGACTTGAAGGAAAGTTGCGCTTCTCTTGGCACACCCCAGTCTCGGTTCGTGGTGTGACGTGCTTTCAGATCAAATTTCACGTAATTTTTCAAATTCAGGGTTTGTTCCAGACGCTCACCCCGAGCCAGGAATATAGTTTTGCAATATAGATATAGAGTTGGGGCTGAACAGCGAAAAACCGACGCAAGTTGCCTCAAAATAGCCAACAAACGGGGCTATCAGGCTGTTTAACGGTCTATCCCCGGATTTCGCCCACATTCATCCCACAGTTGGTGACAGAGGCCCGAGCCCAAGTTAGAGGACTGGAGCCCCCCCCCCCCCCTCCCAAATGAATGAGAAGTTACACCCATGCCTCGCTTGATCGTGGACAAAGTAAGAGTATTGGTGATGTGCATGATAAATTGACGCGCTTAGCACTAATGAGGAAGAAGGTTTGGTGCACGCAAAGGTAAGAATGTGTCCGGAAGAATGCTTCAGGAGTTTAGCTTTTTCCCACACTTTTTTCCCACACTTTTTTCCCATCCCGCAGAACTTCGAGATTAAGGTCACGAGCTAGTGGCCTGATGCAAAAGTGACTTGGAAGTTGCAGGTCAGGTGAAGAAGCTTCACTGGCTAGAATTTCCTTGCGATCCATTGGACGGTCCGGTAGATACTCTAAACGGT